ATTTTACAAGTTTTTGTTACTTTCACTGTTCATTTTTTTCTCTCTCTATGGTAGCCTACATCATCTTTAATTTAATAGCATTAGAGCTGCTCCATTGCAGCGGCTTAGTACTGTAATCACGCGCTTTGCTGTAATAATGCTATAAATCTCCTAACTGTGATATTTTCATAAACGGAGGTCGTGAACTTACTCCCGAACGCGTTTTTGGAACCACATACCTCGAGTAAGCAAGGTTTGGGGTTAGCTGACGGTAAGTTAACCGTGCTTTCTGGAATACACCCAGGATCAGAGAGGAAAACAAACATTTGGTAAACTGTGCTTATTAATTACTGCAGATTGTAAAATGTTTTGTCTCTTGTGTGTCCTGTTTGTATCCAGAATAAAAATTGCACGCTTGGACAACATCTTCCTCACCAGGATGAGCTGGGAGACGGTCGGCGGTTTATCAGGTCAGACAGGGACTTTATTCAGTTGTAATTGAAGCCTTTATATTTACCTTTATGTTTAAGAAATGCCACTCTCATGGCTGCTTATGAAGCCAGTTGAAAGCTGCTCTGTCTGATTTGCAACCGTTCACAATCCATGTTCCTCAGAGATCTCAAGCAGTGCCAGTCGTGGGCTGTGAAAGATCGCCTCACCTCACATGATTAGAGTCTGCGTGTGTTTGCTCTGCTCACTGTGTGACGGCTTCGTTCTGTGTTTTGTGTGCGCAGGGATGATCCTGACCCTCAAAGACACTGGAGTCCCTCAGTGTGTCCTGTCAGGACCGCCGCAGCTGGTGTGTGAGCGAGCGCAGCCACACGCAACAAAAACAGTCTCACTACAAAAAATATTTAAAAAATCAAAGAGTTTGGATATTTTTATGAATTATCTTGTGCTGTTTAACTCTTTCCCCGCCATTGACGAGTTATCTCGTCTTTTAGAAGAAACCCCTTCCCCGCCAAAGACGAGTTTTTACGGCTTTTCGTGTTTTCACTGTTATACACTCGGGGGCGCTATTACGCATCTTCTGAACGAGTACAAAACCTCCAGAACAAAAACACACGTGAACAGGACGGAGAAATGAGCGAGCTCTTATGTAAACCGATGCATTTGAAAAATAATGCGATCATCAGCAATAGACAGCATATAAATGAAAACTGCATAATGTTACCGAGTAAAATGTTGATCCAGGAAGTGGTATATGTCTGTGCAAGCTTTGGAGGTGTTGATGGAAGCGATTTACTGGATTTATGCCTTGATAATCGTACTGAATATTATCTAGATGTAGTTTTTGATGATGTGATTTTCTCAAATTTTTGCTCAAAATTATGCATTTTTTATGAAACCTACCTATATTCAAGTGTTGAAAAAAAAGAAGGCTCTGATCTTTATTTTGGTGTATTGCATCTTCAAATATTCATACAGCAAAATATACTGGAGGCCATCAAAAATCGCTGCCGGTGGCTGGCAACTTTTTTCAAAAATGCTGGCGGGGAAAGAGTTAACTGAACTGTGCTCTGATGTTTTAGGAGAGATATTTACAAGCCATTCGAGTGTTTTCAGGGCAGCTGGAGGACATTAAACTTGGTAAATGTCCACCGTTATCCTCTCATATCGATTTTATGCAGTGTTACTGTTTATTAAAACAAAAGCTAAATTGTTTAAAAGTTGTTCTTGTTAATTGAAATAAAGCTTAAATTTAAAAATCAGATGTAAAAAATTTTTAAGTAAAACTTTATTCAACTTACCTCAGCTCACCTAAACTCGGCTCAGCTCAACTAAATTAAGCTAAACTTAACTTACCTCAGCTCACCTAAACTCCACTAAACTCAAATTAAACTTGAAAGTAACTAAAACAGAAATAAAATAAATAGAAATTGTTAAAAATTGTTCTTGTTACTTGATAAAAAGCTGAAATGAAATATAAATATAGATGAAAAACTTAAACTAAACAAATTTAAAGTAAAATTAAAAGTAAAACTCCACTCATCTTAACTCATCTCACCTAAACTAAATTCAACACTAAACTAAATCCATTAAACGCAGCTCAGCTCAACTACATTAAACTAAACTAAATTAAGCTAAACTTAACTTACCTCAGCTCACCTAAACTCCACTAAACTCAACTCAACTCAAATTAAACTTGAAAATAACTAAAACTGAAATAAAATAGAAATTGTTAAAAAATGTTCTTGTTATTTGATAAAAAGCTGAAATGAAATATAAATATCAGATGAAAAACTTAAACTAAACAAATTTAAACTAAAATTAAAAGTAAAACTCAACTCATCTTAACTTAATAACTTAACTTGCCTCTCCTCACCTAAACTAAACTAAGCTAAACTAAATTTAACTTAACTTACCTCACCTAAACTTCACTCAACTTAACGTTAATTAAACTTACAACTAAAATAGTAACTAAAATTGAAATAAAATAAATTAAATAGAAATAGTAATATTGATAAAAGCAAAAACGAATAAAAATTACAAAAGTACATAAGAAAATTCAAATTAAACAAAGTATAAAAATAAAAGCTAACTGAAAATGTTACTAAATAAATACTCTAATAGTATATAAATAATACTGAAGGAACATTGATCATTTGTCTGTCTGTGCTCTGATTACTGTACCCTCATGCATCCGAATGAGATTCTGTTTATTTGTATTTTGTCCGCAGCTGTCAGACCTTATACAGAACCTCAATATAAAGACGAAACGATGACCGTCAGTCAAGTTCCTCTGTTCTGTGAGTGTCACCTCATTTTTACACTGTTCCCCACCATGAACGTTTAGAATGATTCCCATCTGAAGGATGTGACTGAGAGCGCGCGTGTGTGTGTGTTGTAAGCTGAGGCCGGAAGACGGTCTCCAGGCTCTGGCCGCAGCAGCAGTCCTAACAGCAGTCAGAAGGGGGCCCTCAGGAGACTGGACGACCTGGAGGAGAGTCAGAGTCTCGGCTCCAGTCCAGGTGAGACTCCACACACACCTGCTGACACTGTATGAAACTTAGACCGAAGAAGATTTTACATAAACCTCAAACCATGTGATGAAAATTCTCATTTTATTTAATGTATACATTTATTCAGTATAATTTATTTTTATGATTTTATATTCATTGTCTTCATTTTGTCTATGTTGTTATATATTGTCCAAAAATAAGATTACATTTTGCATTTGAATTGCATATTTTGTGTTGATCATTTAAAAAATAAATAAATACATATATAAAAATCAATCCAAGTTTCATTCTGTCCGTTATTTTATATGATCTTGTCCTATAATAATAACAAAGTGATTAAAATAATTTTCGTTACATTTTATTAATTTATGTTGATAAATTTCAACATTTTAAATTTAAATTTGAAATAAAATCAATGTCTATTATATTTTGCATCATCATCATCATCATCATAATAGAGTAAAATAATCATTTTCATTGCATTTGTACTACATAGTTTGTTTTGATAAATATATTTTCAATCTAACTTTCATTTTTCTGTTATATTTTGTCATCATAACAACAGCAGCAGCAGCAATAATAAAAATAATAATAATAATTATTATTAGAACTATTTTTTTTCCCTCTCCACAGAAGCCAAAGGAAAGATTACTAGAGATTCATCTCTCGTGGTGGCTTACGTGTGTAAGGTGCGCAGAAATAGTCTGAAACACATCAATGTGACACATTTCTCCAGCCACAGAATGACTGTAAATGTGTCTTTTCACCTTTTAAGACCATATAGTGCTCAAAACCATGTTTTTCTGTCCAATGTTTCTTCAGTTGCACTCAAAGAAAGGGAACTTCCTGGCACTGAAAGCTAAAGAGATGGGCCTGCCGGTGTAAGTGTCTGATATCTGTTCGGTTCAGCTGTCATTATTTTTAGGACTAAAATAAATAACACACACATGGTTCAGATCATCATTTCTGTTATCCGGTTTCTCTGTAGAGGAACAGCAGCCATTGGACCCATAATCGAAGCTCTGAAAGCTGGAAAAACTGTGACGTATGATGGAAAAGAGGTGACCGAGAGTTGATTTTCCAGTCCTTCACAATAACAGTTTCAGTCTGTTCTGGAGAAAACATCTGTAGTACCCGCAGACTCCAGAGTTCATCTGAAGGCTGTAAGATCTCCCGGTTTCCCAGCTGACCGTGCGGCGTGTGTTTTAGATCCGACCCGAGGAGCTGTGCACACCGGCTGATCCCGGACCAGTTTTCATAGTCGTCGACTGTCCATCAGAGGACTTCATTCAGCCGCTCTGCACCAATCACATCTTACAAAGGCGAGCAGGTGTCTCTCATAGAGAAATGAGGCCTGTTTTCTCTGTATGTATCTCATACTGTCATGCGTGCAGGTATCAGACGGGCGGATCTGAGGATTCTGCGGCTCTCGTGGTTCACATGACGCCTGAATCAGTGCTGGACACGGATCCGTACAAGAGCTGGATGGAGAGGTACAGCTGAAGTACAGCCATCACACAGGTCTGATCGTGTGCAGGAAGTGTGTGTGTGTGTGTGTGTGTGTGTGTGTGTGTGTGTG